AAATAATTTTGAAATAATTTTTAAGAGGTAAGTGGATAAATACTAACTTTTTATTTTAAATTATATAATAAAATATAATTATTTTTTATTTCTTATCTCATTTTAATTACATATCATATAATTCCAATTTAAAAGATTAATATAGCCCGCTTAGCTAGGTGGTGGCCAGAATTTATCCTGTTCAGTTGTTCAAATTCTTACAAATTAATTTTTTCCTAATCACCTTCCCTCGTCCCCTCCTCTCCAACTGCCAAAAAAAAATAAAATTAATTTGAAAAATAATAATGGTACATACGATTTTATCATAAAAATAAAATCATAACTACTAATCAATATTCAACGTCACAACGTACGCTCAAAACAAAGGAAGATGACGCCGAGGAGAAACAGACGTAATTTAAGATATATTTTATTCTGATTTGGGTCATCCTTTATTTATATATAGAGCTGGATTTGCTAGATCAATGCAAATTCTGCCTTTGGAGATCTTGCATAAAAATTTTCACAAAATTTCTTTTCTTCTTTTTTTGCCTCAATGTAACCTACCCTATCATGAAATCAGCAACTTTCTTTTAATTTTGATTATGCTTTAAAACTGAGTTAAATGTTAATTTTAGTCTCTTAATTTTAAAATTTTACATAATTTTTATTTTTTAAATTTTTTATGTATTTTTTTTATCATTTAACTATGAAAAATACACTTTTTTTTTAGTTTTTTATTAATTAACTTGTTAAATTTATCTGAATTTATATATTTTTAATATCTTAACTTTTAAAAATGTATATGTTTAAATAAATTTAACAGATTAACTAATTAAATGATTAAAAAAATACATTTTTCATAATCAAAGTACTAAAAAAATACAAAAAAAATTTAAAAGATAAAAATTATATAAAATTTTAAAGTTGAGGGATTAAAATTGATATTTAACTTTAGAATTGCCTAATCTATTTAATTTCTTATATATACATATATTAATTTTTTTGTTTGAATAGTTAAAGTATTTGTGAAATGAGGATTCTAAAAGTACATTCTTGTATTAGTAATTTTTTGAATATTATTAATAAAAATTTGACTTTCAAATTTAAACTATAAGACAACATTTATTATTTAATAGTATTTTGATGGCTTGTTGACATTTTTTTGGTTTTTTCAGGTTTTTTCCCGCAACATTGCCGACCATAATCGAGTGTACTTTTGTGGATGAGAAGGAGGTTTAGACCCAATGAAGAATGATTGATTGGGAATGGGCCGGCTTGGTGGAGGGATTCACTTCACCCTTTCTCTTTCTAGATCAACTTGGCCCACTATTAGATTAATACAGCTGGGTTTT